TGGGTCAGTGTTAACACCAGTGCAGTTTTCCCAGAACTCTGAGAAGAGACTTCCTCCGCCCTCACCCGTCAGCTGCAGCTGGCTCAGACGGTGGTAAACCAGAGCTGCGTCCTTTGCGCTCGTCTTGGCCTCCTCGCCCTCGTGCTTCCCTCTGACCTGGTGAACCAGCCATCCCAGCGGAGTCGGGCGATGCAAACAGTAGCGGATCACGTTCCAGGAAAGGGAACAGACCAGATCCAGGCTGGTCGAGGGGAGCGCCCTCGCCAAGACCGACAAGCAGGTCTCTAAGCTGGACATGGCTGCTTTGTAATCTCCCTGCAGATAAAAAGAACAGATGGGGGAGAATAAGAAGTTCAGTCCTTCGGTTAGGATTAAGAGAAAATGAAGAATTAGAAATGAAAGAATGATGAAATCAAATATTTACATCTAAACATAAACTATTTTTTTCAATTCAATTTGTAAAAATGTCCCTTTATCAACGTGTCAAAGAGTAAAAGTAATGATTTTTTCTACTGGGTTTTTCCTTTAACAACTGAAGTGCTGATGCATTCATACCCTGTTGAGATGCAGGTCAGCCTGTTTGCGATGCCTCCAGAAGGACACAGACTTCGGGGAGTGCAGCGGGGTGACAGGCTCCCACAGGTAGAGAACCCTGACGCAGCCCCACACAGCGCCCACTCCACTCAGCACCCACACCATCACCCAGGGCAACAGGCAGCGCAGCCAGGACGCTGGAGGTGGAAGAGGAGACGTCAAACTGACAAATACGTTCAATCACTGCTACAAATTCAGACGCATCATACGGAGACTCTCACCAAAGTCCTGTGTGGGACCCTGGAGCCAAACAAGTGTCCTAGATGGGCCGTGGCCTGCAGACAAGCTGTGGGCTGCTGGTTCTTCTGGGCCCAGGAGAGAAGGAAGGGGGTTCAAGGACAGACAGAAGAAGGTCAGGGCGCACAGAAGCAGTCGGGAGCGATCCATCACTCCGACCGATGACGGAGAGTCTGGCTCACTTTTCAGCTGAGATGGAAAAGAGGAGAAAGCATTTAGAATAACTGAACATTTGACACGATATCCACATTAGTGTGACCCACATCTGTTACCTGATCATGGTCCATTAAGGGGCTGCCTGGCTCTGAGTCCACACAGTAAGGAGAGAACTGGTGAGGGGAACCAGAGCCAGAGTCTGAGGCTGGAGGCGACATCATCACTATTTCCTGTTTGACTTCCATGTCCTCAGACAGCGTAACATTCTCTGTGACAGGTAAAAAGAACATCAGATTAAAACTGTGACAGGTAAAAAGAACGTCGGATTAAAACTGTTTAAATACTGTGTTTAATACTCTTTGTGTCTTCATCAATTCCTGCCAGTAAATCAGTGCTGTGATCAACTAAACAGGTTCAATACAGAGTAAGTACATTTTGAGTATTATGATGTTATTAGATTAGTTGATTAATTAGTATACATCTTATTACACAGATTATTACTTCTTGGTTAAATAATGACTCAATATGAAAAAAAAAAATAAATAAAAGAGATGAAAACCCCATAATATCACATTAATCTACAAATACATCGTCAACACTTTCTTTTACACGGCATTAAAATAAAAACAAATTCTTCTGTGACCTTTGGGGAAACACCGCACACTCTGAGTGAAAACACTTACTGTTCTTCTGGTTTCCCATTTTGAGAGCAAGGTTCTCTTGTCTTAGTTTGTGATTGACCTGTTGTAAGTACTTGATGTAGTCGATGGCCTTCCTCAGCACTCCAGACTTATGCATCTGGTCGACACAGAGAGGACGAAACGTCAGACTGCATTCCTGTCATGTCACCGTCATAAATCTCCTTCCTGTCTCTGCGTCAAAAATATTCACCTTTGCGTCGTTGCCCATGACCAGGTCACGCAGCTCCACGATTTTGTCGTTTATGGAAGACCGATACCTCTTCTCGATGACGTTGTGGGTTGTCCTCCTCTCACCCTCCTTCACCACACCTCCTGGTCCCATGACTCCTGAGACCTGGCTCTGCTCCACATTTGTTCTGACTCCACCTGTGCAGCCTGGCTGTAGCTGCTTGATTGGCAGCTTGTCTCCGCCTCCTCCCATCATAACAGGGACGGTGGTCAAGATGTTGCTGCCCATGAGCGTCTGAGGAAGAAAAAAAACCCAAAAACATTTAAATTAAAAAATGAGCGTCTGAGGAAGAAAAAAACAAAAAACAAAAACATTTAAATTAAAAAATTATTAATTATTATAGAAGTTGTTGTATTAGGGCTAACAGCGTTTGGGAGCCTCCTACCGGGACTTGCAGAGCTGTGTTCTGGATGGGCGTGGTTAAGGTGGTGATCCCTGTGGGACTCTGCATGGTAGACAGAACCTGAGTGCCGTCTGGTTTGAGGGTCGTGAGAACCAGGGACTCTGTCTTCAGGATCTGAGGCTGCTGGACCAGGACCTTGTGGAAAGACATGCAGGGACCTGTTCTTGTCTGTCTTCTATTTTTTATCAGATATCCCTCACATTTATTTATTAGTTAACAAGGTTGTTACTCACAGGTAATTGTTGCACCTGCTGTTGCACAGTGTGAACTGTAGTTGGTGCTGTGGAAAGAGTCTGGATAGTTTGGCCAGACTGAGTCAGAACACGCTGATGCTGAATAGTCAATGGCTGCAGTTGTGGTGATGTCATGATGCTCTGCATCTGGGGCTGGATGACTGAAAGAGAAGACAGGACGATCACTCAAACATCGGCCCCTCGGTGAATCGACGACATTCCAACAGAATCCTCGGAGATTCAGTCACCTTGGAAACCCTGAGCAGGACTCTGATGGCAGAAAACTGGGTTCTGGATGAAGCGAGACTGTCCACCGTTCGAGGTAATCATGACGGTTTGTGGTGCCTGCGACTGAATGGGCAGAGAACTGTGGCTGTGGGTCTGGACCAGGGTGTGGACCGGGAAACTCTGGGTGTGGACAGGGATTCCCTGGGTGTGCATCTGTTTTCAAGAATTAAAGAAAATGAATAGAGATGCCTCATACATGTGGGTTATTGTTTTTGGTGTTTCAGATACAAAGATGGATATTATTTATGAATTTTTCAAACACCTCCGTCATAAACAATTCACAAAATATTTAATTAGTTAAACAGAATACGAGGAACATTGTCATGTTTTTAAAAGAACTAAAAACCTTAGGATAACTTTGTTATTTTTCTCCAACTGTTAACAGCATTATCCATAGTTGAATTTAAGACTGAGGATTTTTTAATCCAATTAATAGCATCTTTGGCAACACAATATTTTTAACTATTTGCTATCAGATGTATTAGAGGAAATAAAATATTGGGTGATGAGTCTGGCAGGGGTGAGAACAGGGTGTTGATACCTGGATGGTGGGCTGGGCTGTCTGTTGGGGCTGAGGCTGGATGGGCTGGACCAACTGAGGCCGTGGCTGAAGGAGCGGAGGACTGCGGGTCACCTGATGCTGCACCGAAGAGACGGTGGCAGGGGAGGGAGTCTGAGCAGGAGTGAGGGGAGGGGTGAGAGGTAAAGACTGGGGAGACAGTGTCTGGGTACTTTGTAGTCCCATGTTGACATTTTGGTAGGGGGAAGGAGTCTGCGTCTGTGGAGTTTGGAGAGTTTGAGGTGCTGGAATTCCGGGATGGGTCGTGACACTCGTTCCGTTCTGTAAGGAACCTGCTGAGGTCATCTGGTCTTCAAACAGATCCGGCAAGTCCCCCACCTGGTTGCTGACAAACTGCAGCATCTCTGAAGACATACCAAAACAACAGAGAAGTCTCAACAAGCTGAATATTTCAGTTATTAAAAATAACGTCGGTATCCAACAATATCATTTTCTTTTTTTCAGGTTTTAATGATCACATATCATAACTATAATGATGATAATTCTTGCTGGAGGTAATAATTCCTGATTGTAGGGCAAGTTCATTGCCAACCTTGAGAGAGACGTCCTTAACAAACGGCTAATCTGACTGATTGTTGAGTCTGAGATAAGTGAAAGCTGTCTTGATAAGACAGATGCGACTGGAGGAACTCAAGGTCTGGCCTTGACTGGTCGCATGCACAGGAACAGCTTCTGCTCATAAACCAGTGATCTCTAAAGACTGTACGCAGACCAGGCTGAAGGTCGCTGAACATGTGTCCTTGAAGACGTTCATTTCTCTGATGGACCCCCAGACAAGAGCAGATCAGGTGATAAAAAAAAACCCTGCAGCCTCATTATATCTGTTCTTTAAAACTTGGGTCATGTGTCAGACGGTAGAACAGAATACAGCTCAAGGTCATGGATGGATCCTTGAGCGGATTAATTTCAAGGCCCTTAAGTCTCACCAACACTTGGCAAAATTCAGTTTTAGATTTAATAAAGAACAAAGCTCCGACTTTAGGACCAACAACTCTCAGTTCATTCAGACGAGGACGGTGGAACCTGTGGAACCACCTAAACCTTTGACATTTGTCCTCTGAAGACAGTGGCAGACTAGTCATTCCTGTCACTGTTCTCCACTAACATCTTTTGTGATACCATACAAATGATTGCTATTTTTTTTTTTTTTTTAAATCCACTCGTACCAAGTTCAAAACATAATTAAAACGCGATGAGAAAATAATGTGCAGACTGATGTAGACCTCGGTTTTTTTACATTAACTTTAATCATCTTCCCATTTTAGTCAGAATGTGAGGCTTTGTACAGGAAGAGCCAACGGGAGACATTTGTACAGCTCTGTGAGGGGGCGGCCGCTTTGACAACGCCCGCAGACTTTTAGACAAGTTGGCACAAAGAGGAAAATCCATCAAAGGAGGACGGTTTGCTCGCTTACATAACCTGAGCCCTGGTTGCTAGGGGAGTAATTGGGAATGGGGGGTGTTCTAGTTTAATATAGGACCATTTGGTCGAGCCCCTGCAGGGGCTTCTATGAGCCAACGTGTTTGAAGAAGAGCACATGGCTCATTTAAGGTAAAAATGTAAATATACTGCAACATATTTACGTTTTTAAAGGATTTAGAAATCTAACGTCCAAATGACAATGGAAATATTGTCTAAGGTTTGGTCTGGACACCAACTGGAGATAGAAAATCAATCATCTTTGAGCAGCTTGACCATGATCTCGTTAGTCATCTCTGACACAGTCGCCCCGTCCCCCAGCCGTACATTCCTGTCTTTTGTCGCAGAGATTACGAAGGATTGCATAACTGTGGCTAGTGGCTAGCCGTCTGCCCGATAAAATGCCAGAGGTTGTTTGAGTTTCAGGAATATTTCACAACTTCATGCATCAAGTGTCATCTCTCTCTCTCTCTCACACACAAATACACACACACCCTGGTCTGGTGACAAGTGATGCAGTTAAATTCCACCCTGATGGGAATCTGGTGACTGCGATGTTCAAAAATCACTCCAGAGGACGACGCTTGATTCGCTTTGAAAAACATTTGGAGGCTTCCGTGTGTCGGAAAGCAAAATAACGATGCTGTTCTAAAATCTTTGATTGAATGTAGATCTACATGTAAGGCCTGAAACACAACCACCACTTGAGCAAAAAGGTCTTTTTAGACAATGTAATTCATGCTTTAAACCAGCGGTCCCTCACCTTTTGTGTACCAGTATCAGCTGATACTGCGGACCGGTAATACACCGCACCATTTTGAAAGATCATTACATTTTTTAAAACAAAACATCTTATATACTAACTGCTGTTAGTATCAGAGTCTGAACGACCTGTTGTTTTGAAACATTGTCAGATTATCTTTAAATGAAAAACGTAAAGGGGTATGACTGGATTATTTTTTAATAAAGTAAATTATTAAAACTGAAGTACATTTTTTTTCCACTGCGCCCGGCATCGGTCCCCGGACCGGATGTTGGAAATGATACGGCAAACTTGTTCCAAATAAACTCCAGAAATATTTCTCTCACGCACAACGACTTTTTAAAACAAATGACATGACATGGGTATTTTTTTCCGAACTTGACAAGCAGGTTGCACTCGTGTCATCCGTCACCACACTTACTCATTTTCCATCTCTTACTGAAACACATCTCTGCCTCATTGAAAAACAGCACTGTGACGACGATTTTTCACAATTGTAAAAAAATCAGTATTGTGGATAACTTTAACTTTAGCTGATTTTTAGACTGATGTATAAACAGGAAAATTCAACGAGTGTACAGAATGACCCTTTTGTTGATGTTGCTTTTTTTAAATATATTTTTTCCCACAAATATAAAACCTTCTCAAGTTGGTTACCAAGTAAATAGGGTGCAGGAATATTAAATAGAAAACATGTATCCACAGTTTACGGTGTTCAGTATTTTTGGAGAACTGTTTACATAACAACTTGTTTGTTTTTTTTAATAATTTAAAATAAATATAAGTAGTGCGGCGGAAAGTGAATTTATGACTATACGTGTTATGTAATGTAAAGACAGGAATAGAAGATAACATAATAACATGGATTGCATATGTAATTTTATCATGACGTGCCAGTGTTTTTAACTGATGTTGACAATTGTGTAATGAATTTAGAGTGTAGAAAATGTGTTTTGTGTAATTCTGACATCACACGCACAGCTATGCCCAGAGCTGTCAAACTCTGTGGTCATTTGGTTTAACGACAACATTTTAATCTGTGGTCATTTGGTTTAACGACAACAACATTTTATTTTACTGGCAGTAACTTATCGTCTTACCGTCGATGTCTCCTAGGGTGAATTCGTCCCCCAATACCGCTAAAGTCGGGTCCATGTTCTCCATGTACTCTCCGTTGTCCATTCTGTCTGACCAGCTTCGCCTCTCCGGATTTTACCGGAGGTTTCGAAGAGGCAACGAAACAAGGGCTACTGTTCTCAGTGACGCCTACAAGAAAACGTATACAACGGTAAAACCTATAAGATACCGGAACAAGCACGGAACAAGCCCAAAGCCTCCACGGAGGCCGACTTCTTCGTCGATAAAGTCATTTACTCCGATTTACGCTTCAGAAGACGCCATCTTGATTCACGCTGATTACGTCATTCACAAACAGACTCCGTGGCGCAAAGCAGCTGCTGATTGGTCCGAATCAGGAAGAAGTTGTCATGAGACCAGTCACCGTCATCCAATTAGAAGCCCCTGTCCTCCGTGGTCTGATAGTACGTCAACAATCAGAAGCTTGGGAGTCATTTGAATAAACCGCGCCCCCTAACGTCACGAAAACTAGCGGACCGCAAATGTAAGTAGCTGGGTTTGACCAAAATACTAAAAACAAATAGTTAAAAAGGGATTATTACAAACGTGTTAGTGAAAACATATTGATTTGTTAATAGATGATTCGAAAATGAGTGGCAAATGACTTTTTGCCACTAATAATGTAGAATAAAACAGAACCGTTCTCATACATTAAAGTGTAATATAATGTTATTATAGTATCAACAACATAGATGTACGGGGCCCCAAAAGGGACACGGGGGAAAAAACAGTTCAGGAGACAAACATGATGAATGAATGCAGCCTTTATTCATCATTTACTGCAAACCCAAGTGAACAAATCAAGTGCTGATGTGACAAAAGTGCTCAAGCATGATCAGAATTTTTTTTCACATTCAAACAACAATCAAACACTAATGTGAAATATTCAAATTCAGTCACACATTGCAAATATTCAGTTGAACATAATTTATAAAAATACAAGACTATATATATGTCTTTACTTTGATATATGTTAAAACATCTTGGCAACATTCTCCTTTATGAAGAAAAATATTCAATTTGTATTTCTAACCCTCATGAAATATCACTTCAACATATTAAAAATTGTAAATAATCACAATAAAAAAGCATTTCAGTCGTCATCACTGTCATTATATTTCATTCTGTGCTACAGTAAAACGCTCTAATCCTGATTTGGAATCATCAACACGTTTTTTGAATTGCCACCTCTGATATAAACTCCTGTAAAATTCTATCAGATATATGGGTGAAACTGAATGATGGTTGACAGAAAAGAACTGCTTTGCCTGAATCTATTTGTTCAAGTGAATCTCATAGGACATTTTCTCCGAGTAGTCTGTTTCTGATGTTCCAGATCTGACTTTTTCCTTCACCACCTTCACCATCAAACCACCAGCAAGAGCAGCGGCTGTTACAGCCTTGCTTATCTCAGTTACTGCAGACAAAATGCATGTTGATGATGTCGTTGGTACAACACCAGGGGAACCAGCTACTGCTGGGACGTTAGCGACTCCTGCTGGGACGTTAGCGACTGCTGCTGGGGCGTTAGCGGCTACTGCAGGGATGTTAGCGGCTACTGCTGGGGCGTTAGCGACTGCTGCTGGGACGTTAGCGACCGCTGCTGGGACGTTAGTGGCTACTGCTGGGACGTTAGCGACTACTGCAGGGATGTTAGCGGCTACTGCTGGGACGTTAGCGGCTATTGCTGGGACGTTAGCGGCTATTACTGGAACGTTAGCGACTACTGCAGGGACGTTAGCGGCTACTGCTGGAACGTTAGTGGCTACTACTGGGATGTTAGCAGACTCTGCTGCAGCTGTCTCTAATGCAACACCTGCAGGTCCCACAATACCTGCTCCCTGAAAAACTGTACTTAAAGCAGCACCAGCTCCCAAGCTCGCACCTACTCCTGTCGCTACGCCAACAGCAGTGACCCCGATGGTGCTGACCTGCCCAAGGGTGTCTAGCGCACCTTCCATTGGACTAGCAGCTGTTGTGCCAATAAGGGCTCCAGCCGAACCACCAATTACCCCACCTGTTGCTGCTCCCAGGGCCAGTGCAGGTTTTCCCGATGCTGCTGCCCCTCTAGCCCCGACAGACACCACCACG